TCAGAGGAATCACTATCAATGGCAGCTACAGCTTTAAAAAATCTATTTCTTTTTTTTTTTTTTTTTTTTTTTTTTTATCCTCACCTGAGGACATTTTTCCATTTTTGTTCAGGTAGAGTGGGAGGGAGGGAGAGGAACAGAGAGAGAGAGAAACATCGACGTGAAAGGAACACATCGAGTGGCTGCCACCCGCACAACCGACCAGGGCCGGGGACAAACTGCAACCGAGGTACGCGCCCTTAGCGGGAACCGAACCCGCGTCTCTCAGGACCGCAGGCCGACGCTCTAACCGCTGAGCCAAACCGGCCAGGGCAAAAAATCTATTTCTTAATACAACTTTAATTGAGAATTACTCCTTGATCCATGGATTGCATAATGGGTGTTATGTTAGCTGTCATGAAAACAACATTAATCTCCTTGTGCATTTCCATCAGAGCTCTTGGTTAATCAGGTGAATTGTTAGTGAGCACTAATATTTTAAAAGGAATCTTTTTTCCTGAGAAGTTTATATCAACAGTGAGTTTAAAATATTCAGTGAGCCATGTTGTAAACAGATGTGCTGTCATCCAGGCTTTGTTGTTTCATTTCTAGAGTGCAGGCAGAGTAGATTTAGCATAACTCTGAAGGGTCCTTGGATTTTGGGAGTGGTAAATGAACATTGTCTTCTCAAAGTCACCAGCTGCATTATTCCCTAGCAAGAGTGTCAGCCTGTCCTTTGAAGCTTTGAACCCAGGCATTGACTTCTCCTCACTAGCTTTTAAAGTCCAAGGTGCCATCTTCTTCCGATAGAAGGTTCTTCCTCCTACATTGAAAATTTGTTGTTTAGTGTAGCCACCTTCATTATCTAAGCAAGATCTTCTGGATAACTTGCTGCTTCACCTTGTACTTTTGTGTTACGGAGATGGCTTCTTCCTATAAATATCATAAACTAACCTCTGGTAGCTTTAAAGTTTTCTTCTGCAACTTCCTCACCTCTCTGCCTTCACAGAATTTAGTGGAGTTAGGGCCTTGCTCTGGATTATGTTTTGGCTTAAGGGAATGTTGTGGCTGGTTTGATCTAGCTAGACCACTAAAACTTTCTCCATATTAGCAATAAGGCTGTTTTACTTTCTTATCTTTTGTGTGTTACACTGGAGTAGCACTCTTAGTTTTTTCAAGAACTGTTCCTTTGAATTCACAACTTGGCTAACTGGTTGGTATAAGACACCTACCTTTTGGACTATTTCAGTTATTGAAATCCCTTTCTCACTAAGCTTAATCATTTCTAGCTTTATTTTATTTTTTTAATTTTTCCCCCTTTATTGATTTTAGAGAGAGAAGTGAGAGGGAGAGAGAGATAGAAACATCAATGAGAGAGAACACCGATTGGCCACCTCCTGCATACCCCTCACTGGGGATCGGGCCCACAACCTGGGCATGTGTCCTGACCAGGAATCGAACTGGCGACCTCTTGGTGCATGGATCGATGCTCAACCACTGAGGCACACCGGCCGGACTCTAGCTTTTGATTTAAAGTGAGAGATGTATAACTCTTCCTTTCACTTGAGTACTCAGACACCATTGTAGGGTTATTAGTTGACCACTTAATTTCAAAATTGTTGTGTTTCAGGGATTAGAGAAGTCCAAGGAGAGAATGTGCAATGGGAGAATGGCTGGTTGGTGGAGCAGTCAGAACACACATTTATCAATAAATTTCACCATCTTATATTGGTGTGGTTTGTGGCACTCCAAAACAATTACAGTAGAAATATCAAACATCACTGATCACAGATTACTGTGACAAATATAATAATAATGAAAAAGTTTAAAATATATACCAGGATTATCAAAATGTGACACAGAGACATGAAGTTGGCAAATGGCTCCAATAGACTCGCTGGACATAGGGTTGCCAGAAATCTTCAGCTTAAAACACACACACACACAATATCTGCAAAGCACAACAAAGTGAGGTACAATAAAACAAGCATGCCTGTCTACACATAACAATTTGTTTATCTGTCCACTGTTAGCACCTATCAGGTTGTTATGCAAACTCTTTATTTACACATTTCTTCCTCTCAGCTCACAACTCAGAAAGCCATGTTTTTTTAATCATTTTATCAATATTTATATACCATCAAATAGCATAATGCTTGACATATAGCAGATATTCATTGGTGAGTCTTCATCAAAATTTGAGAAAAAATTACCAATGATCTGTGAATTTTTCCTTAAACAACATAATATATAAGTAAAGAAATTATAAATAAAAATTCCCCAACATTGTTGAAATCCACACTCACCCCACCCACCTGTAGATAGAGGGAATAAGGACTTGAAAATGTTGCCCAATTCTTTTTTTCTCTTTCCCTTTCCAAAATGCATGCCAGTTGCCCTAAGGCTTCTGAAGAACCCTGAAGGCAGCATCTCAGTTTGTGTAGGAAGGAGAATTAGTATAACTGCAAGGTGATCCTAACTTCTTGCCATTCTCTTGATTTTGAATGCTCCATTCACTTCAGAATCCCTGCTGAGAGCTGAAACATTGCTTCTGCAAGAAGGCATTTATTTTAGGTATAGTTTTATTCTTCAGATGTGCAGCTTCACAGCATTGCTAATGTAAATTATGGGAGAAATATGGGGAAAGCTAAAATGGTTGACTTGAAGGTATTTGACCTATCTTTTTTTGGTGATTTCTCATTTGGGTTTATTACTTATTAAATACTTATCATATTTAAATTGGCTTACTCATTAACTTTATGAGATAATAATTGACACATAGCACTGTATAAGTCTAAGGTGTACAACATAATGATTTGACTTACATATATTGTTCTTTATGATGAAAACTCTTAGGAAGAGTTACTTTGTTTTTTTCTTTTTTAAACCCTCACCTGAGGACATGTTCATTGATTTTTTTAGAGAGAGGGGAAGAGAGAGAGAGAGAAACATCGATGTGAGAGAGAAACATTTATTGGCTGCCTCCAATCAGGGCCAGGATAGAACCTGCAACCTAGGTATGTGCACTGACTGGGAATCGAACCTGGGGGACCTTTAGGTACATACGATATACCAACTGAGGCACACTGGCCAGGGCAGGATTTACTTTCTTAACAACTTTCATATATACCGTACATCAACTAATAATCAGTTGTACATTTTATCCCTAGTACTTATTTATCTGGAAGTTTGTACCTTTTGACCACCCTCATCCAATTCCTCTTTCCCCATCTCTTGCCTCTGGTAACCCTGAATCTGATCTCTTTTTCTATGAATTTGGAGTTGTCTCATTTTTTTTCTTCTAGATTTCATATATAAGTACGATATACAGAATTTGTCTTTCTCTTAATTATTTTACTTAGCATTATTATTTCACCCATGTTGTCGCAAATGGCATGATTTTCTTATTTGTTATTACAGAATAATATTTCACAACTTCTTAATCCACTTATTCACTTATGGACACTTAAGTTGTTTCCATGTCGTGGCTATTGTAAATAATGCTGTTATGAACATGGGGGTACAGATAACTCTTCACAATAGTGCTTTTATTTCTTTTGGATATATTCTTAGACATGGAATTGCTGGATCACATGGTAGTTTTATTTTTAATTTTTTGAGGAACCTCTATACTGTTTTCCCTAGTAGCTATATTAATTTACATTCCCATCAACAGTATACAAGGGTTCCTTTTTCTCCACATTCTTGCCAGCATTTGTTATCTCTAAATTTATTTTTAAAAGATAGAAGCATCAATGGGAGAGAGCATCAATTGGCTGCCTCCTGCATGTCCCCCACTGGGGATTTGGCCCACGAACTGGGCATGTGCCCTGACTGGGAATCGAGTCAGTGACCTCTTGGTGCATGGGTCGATGCTCAACCACTGAGCCACACCGGCTGGACTCTAAATTTATTCTTTTTATAGATTTGTGTATGCTTCTTCTCCTGATGCATACATTTAACAATTTAATAGTTTTAAAAAAATATTTTTTCTTTATTGATTTTAGAGAGAGAGGGAAGTGGAGAGAGAAAGAGGGGGAGAGAGAGAGAGAGAGAGAGAGAGAGAAACATCAAAGAGAGAGAACGTCAATTGGCCACCTCCTGCATGCCCCCCACAGGGGATTAGGCCCACAACCTGGGAATGTGCCCTGACCTGGAATCGAACTGATGACCTCTTGGTGCATGGGTTGATGCTCAATCAGTGAGCCATACCAGCTGGGTGATTTAATAATCTTTTTAAGACATGTCCATCAATAGATGAGTGGATAAAAAGTTGTGGTACATATATACAATGGAATACTATGCAGCTGTAAGAAAGAAAAAGATATCTCATCCTTTGTGACAACATGGAGGGACCTCGAGAGTATTATGCTAAGTGAAATAAGCCAATCAGAGAAAGACAAATACCACATGATCTCACTTATTTGTGGAATATAATGAACAAGGTGGGCTGATGAACAAAATAGACCGAGATACATAGAAAGGAGTATGGTTCAGACTGACAAACCTGAGTGGAGGAGGGGGGGTGGATGAGATGAACCAAAGAACTTATGTGCATATATGCATAACCAATCAACAACAATGCTAGGGGGTGGGGGAAACAGGATGGGGAGGAGGGGATCTTGTGGGGGGAAGAGAAACATCTGTAAAAAAAATAAATTAATAAGAATTGAACAAATAATAATTTTTGAAAGAAAAAGTGAAATACTGGTCTAACAAAGGAATTTTGTAAATCCATCAACTTATTGAATACCGTCACAAAGGCATAAAATAAATTGTTCATTGGCAAGAATAAAATTACATTAAATCATCTCTGGTGTTGAAACCAAGGATATAGAGTTTCCATATCCATATATCTTTATATGGTACTAAGCATGTAGTTGGCACTGAGTAAATATGTACTGGCTAAATAATTTAATAATAGGATGTACTACTTCTGTTGATCATGTACTATTTGTACTATTAAGAAAGACGTTCATGTAACAGCAGTGTTTTCTCCATCTCCTGGGTTCAATTCACAGTACACAGATCCGAGCTATGCTAGGCCAGTTCAGCCAGGCTGAAGGCTTACTAATGAAAGCTGGAGTGCAGCCAGGGACTTTGGATGGAGTTCTTTTGGATCTTGGATGTTCCTCCATGCAACTTGATGCTCCCGAAAGAGGTTTTTCCCTTCGGAAGGACGGCCCTTTGGACATGAGAATGGATGGTGACAGGTGAGTATCGATAAAGCATTTCTCTGCACAACAAGAAATCAATCTTTCACAAGCACTCTGAATTTAATTTCCTTTTAAGACTGCAGAATTCCCATTACACGCCCACACCTAACACTATCCATATATAATAAATCAGTTTTGTTTGCGACTCATAGTTTTTAGTGTTTTTCTAGATTTGGGATTCTGAAAGAAAAACCATTGCTGTCTTTACACAAACTATTGAGGAGGATAACTTTCATACTGATTATCTTTTTTTATGAATACAATGTGAGCTTTTAGATTGCTAACAATGTTGATAAATGTGGTACTGAAACTAGAGTTCCATTTTTATGCAGGCTCAACTATGTCTGTTGGGGAAAATAAAAGAAAGTCTACTCAGTGCATGTTGTTTTGAATACCACATTAAAGTCAAGATCTCAGAGGTCAACAATTGTTTATCCTGTGTCTTATACAGTCACTTTGGTTCACCCTTCTTTAGAGCAAAGACGATTTATGGTACTATATCAAACACAGTACTGTACATAGGACAGTTTACACCTCCTCTTAATTCCTCACTACACTGGGAATACTAGCATTCATTCTCCATTAGTCAAATAGTACATATGTATTAAAAAACACAAAGAGGATCACATTTTAGGAAAGTTTAGGATAATTGTTTTCAAATCTAAATTAATTTTGAAAGCTTAGAGTTGTACTTGTCTGTCTGCCCAACACTGACCAGGGACTGACCAGCATATACTGTCAGCTACCCATCCATGCCTTCTCCCTCATTTCATGTCCCCACCACCTCTGCCAGCAAATCACAGATCATGGCCCGTGCCTTTGTGAAGCTCACCTTCTAAGAAGAACATTCGACTTTCATATATCTAAGTAAGCAAACTATTCAGTTAGTTACTGATTTGCAATTCTAGACCTGCATAAATATTTGTACTGAAATAACTAGGTTTTCCAAAATTTCTTCCAATTAGAAGGACCTATATGTGAGCAATTTATTGTTTAATTTCTCAACAAATTAATATTGAGTTGACTTTAATTCCTTTCCCACAAACTGCTTTATCCCATAGTAATCACATAGAGTCTTTTCCCATACTTTTGATACAACCTTTTAACTGAGACTATGAACCATACTTGTTGAAATCTTTTTGTTTTGAGTCATATACCTTCTTTTGCACAAGTTGGCATTCATAGAATGAAGAGTGTGATCATAAAATAAAATAATATCTTTTAAACACCAGTGACTAATAGTAAAGGTCAAATATCTTCTCATGTTTGGAGATTGAGGTTATTGCGCAGAGGTAATAAAATGTCAAGCAAATTTCTTCTGTTCCTATGTCTTGCTAAGGAGGATGCCTTCCGAAATACAATGAACAAAGCTTCTAGTTAATAGAAGTAAATCCCCATATTGTTAATGTAAAGATTTATCAGCAAATATTAGTTTGAGAATTAGGGTTCCTGAGGTTCTCCTCTAAGAACTTGAAACTAAGATAGCCCTTGAGAAGTAAACTTTTATCAGTACATAATGAATGAGATTAGAGTTGAGAAAATATATCTTAAAAAGCAGGTTGGCTTTCACTGAGAGCACAGACTGTAACTTAACCAAAGGTATTAACAGATCTGAAGAAATTATGTGGCATTCAGAAAGGGGGAGTTGGTTCCCATGAATTTATTGAAAAAAGGAGAGTCAGAGATGTAAATAAGTACAATAATAATTCAAAAGGTGTTGTGATGAGAGAGGCCATGGCTAGTCAAATTATGGAGGCTGATGTGTCCCTGTGCTGAACATGGATGCAACAGGCTTTTATACCCTGTTGCCATATGTCACTGGAACCTTACAGCACAGTTTGATTAGTGATCTCCCAATTTCATCATCAGCTTTCAGATAATAGTAAGATCTCATGTGGCAGAAAGAAGATAACAGCTTCAAGGACTTGTGGGTATAGCCCAGTTGTCAGTTGTGTTCTTCACTAGAAGGCAATAAATAAACTGCCACTTTGGTTAATATTTTCTTTCTCTCATGAGTGTAGTCACTGTAAGTCTGTGATCCCTGGAGGACTGACAAGATCATTTAACCTGTTAAGTTGGAGTGGGGGATAGATTTTGTATCTTGACTTCTTCATGATACAAATGCCTATTCTGAAGCCTCCTAGCAGCCTGTTGACTCAGAATGTTCCCCCCTTTGCCTTGTAGCACTGTGCAAGCTTTTATGCTGCTGTTCAATGTTAACATTAGATAACACAAAATTATGCTGATTATCTACTGAACTATATTGGAGTGAAATGCTGTTATAATTTTTCATATTTGAAAGTAGAAAATTGTTAAGTACATTCATACTAATTTTAGAATTTTCCTGTTAGAGCTAAACTCTATTCTATGGAGTCTGAATTATCATCATTCATAAGGTTCATTCTACTGTTCAGTGGTTTGGGCAGTTGAATTCATAACTAGGTAAGGTCTATCAGCAATTTTGTCGATTAAGCCAAAAATGATGATTGACAAATCTAGGGATGGGAAGAATCTAAGGGACATTAATATGAATTGAGTTTCTCCATGGGTTAGGTATTATACTATTTGTTTTACAATTATATGCACCCTTAATTCTTACAACACTTCTGTGAGGTAAGCATTGCTAATTTCATTCACAGGTTAGTAATCGAGGCTCCACTCTATTAACAAGCTTACCCAATATGAGTAGCAAAGCCAGAATTCTAATGTAGGTCAACTTGTCTTAAAGACGAAATCTTTATCCTTAAAGCTATTATTGAAGGAGCAAAGCCTATTGAGAGAGAAACTGGGCTACCATACAGGATGTTAATTGGTCTGGGGGGTGCCTTGGCAGCCAGAAAAAAAAACACACACAAGAATCACATGATCTGGAAAGCAAGGTTTGAGACAGAGAGGAAGGAAACGAAGGAGGAAGGAAACGAAGGAGGAAGGGAATGGAGGTTATGGAAAAATAGGGGAAAAAACAAGAACAACAAAATGTTCTCTTGGAGGCTTGCTGACTAGGTGCAGTGTGGTGTATTTATGAAAGGATCTGGGTGTTTCTTGGCAACCCCACTCTGATTAGATCTTTAGGTCTTAAAGTTGCCATATCCTTATTACTTCACGTTCTCACAGTGTGGTACCAACAATCAATCCAACATTAACAACAAGAGTAGTAACTGCACTATTGACAAAGCTATGTTTCTAATAAGTACGGTTTCAGTTAAGTCATCATTTGGATTCCTTAACCCATTTTTCTAAAGTATGGTAAACTGTCATGGTCTGACAGAGTGAATACCATTTCCTGCAACTATGATTTATTTTATTTGACCAGAGCTTGGTATTTTTGTTTCCTTCACCTGAAATTACCCTCTAGGCTTGTTTAGTACTGTTTGTTGATTACTAAGTTGTATTTCATGGTGTCTTTTGTCATGGAGGTAGAAATCAATATTGTTGAACATTTGAAATAACATGTTATTATTATTAAGGCTGTTCTAGTTTTGGTGAGGAAATTGACCAGCAGTATCTGCTCGTACAGTAGTTCCCCCTTATTCCTGGTTTTGCTTTCTACGGTTTCAGTTGCCTGGGGTCAACTGTGGCCTGAAACTATTAAGTGGAAAAATCCAGAAATAAACAATTTATAAGATTTAAATAGTGCGCAATTTTGTGTAGCAAGATGACACCTCTTGGTAGTCCACTCTGTCTTGCCTGGGATGTGAATCATCCCTTTGTCCAGTGGTATCACAGTGCTTGTGTTCAAGTAACCTTTATTTTACTTAATAATGGCCCCAAAGTGTAAGTGTAGTGATGCTGGGAATTTGTATGTGCCAAAGAGGAGCAATAGAGTGTATGTATATATGTATGTATAGGAAAAATATGGTCTATATAGGGCTCGGTACTATCCATGGTGCCAAGTCTCTGCTAGGGGCCTTGGAATGTATTCCCTGGGATAAGGCGGAACTCATGGGATGATTTTCTATGTTCAGTCTGTGCTCCAGTAATATAAATAGTTGGTTACTGGATAGTCTCAGATTTATTTACGTTCCTGAGATCTAGCCTTATTTAAATATCAGTTAGTAGGTCTTCCATCTTCTGTATAGAAAAAAAATTAAGCAGCCATTGAAGGTTTGAACAAACTAAATCCAAACATTTCCACTATTTTAGTTTAGGGGAAACCTGCATGAGCAGTAACTTCTTTGTGAATTAAAGGTTAGTAAAATATTTTAACTTCCTGCTACCCTTGATGAATGTCACACACACAGCCCCCACTTGCCATAATGATGGGTATTTGAAATGAAAAACCCATTTCATTCCTGTAAGGTTTCAGGCTCTGACTTTAAAAACCTCAGAGGCTCTTAGACTGTGTGTGTATGCCTGACTTTAAGTCTCAGTACTCTGAAGTTTCACCTCTTGTCAATGAAAACTGACGTCAATGAACTAATTGGTTCTTCTTGTGCGTAGGTACCCTGACATGCCCACCGCAGCTGATGTTGTGAATGCTTTAGATCAACAGGCACTTGCATCCATCCTGAGAACATACGGGGAGGAGAGGCATGCCAAGAAAATCGCCTCAGCGATCGTTCAGGCACGCAGCATCTACCCCATCACCAGGACCCAGCAGCTCGCCAGCATCGTCGCAGGTGCCCTCGTTAATTCTGAACAGTGTCTGAGAGGGAAAAGGAGAATATATATATATTAATCCCCCAAACTCCCAGAGGAATTCATCTGTACTTAAAATCATGCAGGAGAGAATCTTGCCTATCCTTCTCTCATGCCACCTTCTTTTGGCTCCCCCTCCCCCAACAACTCTCCCCACACACAGTTTTAAAATATACTGTAGTTTGCCGATTAGTTTAATAGAAGATTTTTTTTACATGAGGTAATTTATCATTTGTGCCTATCAAGGTGAAACGTAGAATGACAACAGCAGAAGAATTTCTTGCTTCATCACAGTGCTTGATAAGCATCCTGCATAAGATCTGACACTACCTTTCAGTTTCACATTTCTGCATTTTAATATTTCGGGCGAAAGGAGAATTGCATTGCCCAGCTGCTAAAATAAAATCCAGTGACTCATACATCTATTCTAAACAACCGGCTAACAAAGGGTATGTGATGTATAGGTTATTCTACTTTGTGAATGCTAACTAAATCAGCCTGTGGGGCTTATTGAAACATTTCATCTTTTTTGCTGTTTGCCACCATAAACCTCTTGAACCTAAGTCTAGCTAGGAGGCGCTTTATTATAGCCTTTCTGTTGGAAGCCAAAGTTGTTTCACAGCTGTATTTCATGATGAAAGTTTTCCTAGACAAAAATACAACTTCTGCAGCTATTTAACAGAATTCCAGTGGTAAACTGTTGGACCCTCTGAAGCCTACATCATTTTTATTTACCAAATGTATTAAGTTTTCTTTTCAGTGGTTCCTGTTAAATTAGTTAACTAGCCAAAGACATGGGAAAAAATGTATAGAAAGAACCTAATATTGCTTGCCTGTATCTTAATATTATCCACAATTTAAGGAATAAAACTTAAATATACATTTATTTGGATCACGATTTAGAGATCATAAGAGCAATTATTTTATGACATAATTTCATAAAAATATATTCTACTTAGTTATGCTAATAAGATATAAAAAGTTGACTTAAGTCTTCATTTTTTTAAGCAGCATGCCTCAGGCCCTTGAAATTTAACATTGATGCAGCTTACTTCAGTCAAGTAATTGCAAAATTCTCGTGGGTTCTGTGAGCATAAACTATTTCATGGTATTTTTTCCCAAAAAAGAGTTTATACTAGCAGGTTAATGTTGAATTCACCCTCTGTCTTGTGTCCCTTCTTTACCCCACTCTATACTCATGCACGTGTCTGCACCTTACCCTTTCTGTCTTTCTCTAACTAGCTCTGTGCATTGTTCTCTGTCTCCTGTATTGGAAAGAAAAGCAGTGAGAAGTCACATTTTCTTATTCAGAAGAAAGTCCAGAATTTTCTGGTGCTGAAAATAAGGACTTGGGGCTAGAGGGTATTCCAGAGATCATCCAGTGAAAAGAACCTCATCTGATAATGAGGAAACTGAGGCTCGGGTTGCCTAATTAATAGCAACGTCAGTACTAATCTAGAATTTAGAAGCTCATGAATTTGAAGCATAATTGGGAATCTGCCTTTAAGAAATTTACTTTTATGTCTCATGCTCCTAATCTGAAAACTTGGGGAAATAACACTGTGGCGTTAGATATAAATTATATGAAGATGTAGAAGAGGAATAATTTAAGTGTTTTCAGGAAGATATAATATGAAAAACATGTTGGGGCTATGAAAAATGATATAGTAAAAATGAAAATATTCACATATGTGTATGTAAAACCTTATTTTAGTAAATGTCACTAAAAGACTGAGTTCTCTTATAATGAGTCCAGTTTTATGATTCATATCAGCCTATAATAATAAAACATTATTAATGATATAATTATTTGGAAAAGGGAAAACAGAAACAATGGATTACATTTTTGTGCTAATTTATTTAAGAAAAAAAAGAATTCAGGAGAAGCTGCCATATATCAGACATCACACTGAGTACTAAGGATAGAATGGGGAGTGAATCACATAGAACCTCTGTGCTCATGAAGCTTATAGATTAATAAGTGACTGAATAACAACATGGTGTAATAAACCTACATTTGTAGTGGAAACTTTCTTATTTTTATTGTAGTCTGAAGCTATGATTGTGTGGCTAATAGAAAAAGTTGGTGCAAGTGTAGAATTATACAATAATTCTACATGCTTGGGTCCTAATTGTAGTTCCACAAAGTCCATTCTTACATAAAGCACACCCATGTTATATCTTTTACAAGCTTTGATTTTGTTTTTATTCAAATGAAGTAAGAATTTACAGATACTTACAAAGCAATCTGAATGAACGTAGTTTCCAGATTTTTATTATTTTTTAGTCTTTTATGATTACCTCACTAACATCTAATTTTATTGCATTTTTTACATGACTCACCATTATCAAGAGTTCCAAAGTCTCCAACGTAGTTTTCATGGAATTAGCCGCTGTCTTTCCTTTTGCGTTCATATTTTAGCAATTACACAATATTTGATTGGATTGTGTGATGGCAATCGTAAGTGCTCTGGGCTGTAAGTGTGCAGCTGTTTTGGTGGGGAAAATTGTATAGAATGCTGGAGAGTGGAATACTCTCCCAAGATATTTTTTTTTTTAACAGAGAAAGGGATTAATTCATCAAGTCCATTCAATAGAAGTCTCATGAGAGAGCTACTTCACAAAGGAAGTATGAGAAGCAATGGAGAGCCCAGAAAGGTTCCTGTATTAGTTTCCTGGTTTTGCCATACTAAGTACCATACACACCATGGCTTAAAACAACAGAAATGTATTCTTTTTTTTTCTTTCGATTTATCTTTATTGTTGAAAGTATTATAGATGTACTCCCTTCCCCCCCTTCCCCATTTACCCCTGCCTTCGGCCTTCACCACACTATTGTCTGTATCCATGGGTTATGCATGTAAGTTCTTTGGTTAATCTCTGTAACCCCCACCCCGCCCCGAGTTTCATCAGTCTGTTCCCTGCTTCCAGGCCTCTGGATCTGTTTTGTTCATCAGTTTATTTTGTTCATTAGATTCCAAATATAAGTGAGATCACGTGACATTTGTATTTCTCTGACTGGCTTATTTCGCTTAGCATAATACTTCCAGATCCCTCCATGCTGTCTCAAAGGGTAAGAGATTCTTTTTTTTTATAGCTGCATAATATTTCATTGTGTAAATGTACCACAGCTTTTTTATCCACTCATCTACTGATGGACACTTGGGCTGTTTCTAGATCTCAGCTCATGTAGATTGGGTTGCTATGAACAAAGGGGTGCATATGTTCTTACTGATTGATGTTTCAAGATTCTTAGGATATATTACTAATAGTGGGATCACTGGATCAAACAGAAGTTCCAGTTTTAATTTTTTGAGGAAACTCCACATGGATTTCTATAGTGGCTGCACCAGTCTGCATTCCCACCAACAGTGTACTGGGTTCCCTTTCTCCACATCCTCTTCAGTACTTGATTTATTGATTGTAGCCATTCTGGCAAATGGGAAATGATACCTCATAGTGATTTTAATTTATGAGTACTTTATATATTTTGGATAGTATCTCTTTTTGCAGTGTATCATTGGCAAATATGTTCTCCCATACAGTGGAGTCCCTTTTCATTTTGATGCTGGTTTCTTTTGCCATGCAGAAGTTTTTAGTTTGATGTAGTCCCATTTATTAAAATTTTCTTTTATTTAGATTGCCCTATGCATTGGATCGGTGAAAATTCTGCTATGTGTGATGTCTGAGATTTGCTGTCTACATTTTCTTCTAGGATTAATCTGGTTTCAAGACTTACACTGAAGTCTTTTATCCATTTTGAGTTTATTCTCGTGTATTCTTTCAGAGTTCTGAAGGCTAGATATCCAACATTAATGTGTCAGCAGGGCTCTGGGAAAAAATGCTCCCTTGACTATTCCTAGTGTCGGTGGTTGCCAACAATCCTTGATGTTCCTTGGCTTGTAGATGTATCACTAAGTCTCTGCCTCCATCGTCATATGGCGTTCCCTCCATGCTTCTGTCATTGTGCCCAAATTTCACTCTTACCATGAGGACACTAGTCACTGGATTTAGGGTCCACCATAATCCAGTATGTACTCAACTTAACTCGATTATATCTGCAAAGACCCTATTTTTTAAAATGTCAACATTACAGATTCCTAATAGACATGAACTTTAGGGGATGCTGTTCAGCCCAGTGCAGTTCATAAGCAATACCTTTATTTAACAAACATGTATTTTGGCAGGCTATAATATGCAGTGACTATATTTGAATGACTTTTCTCATACTAAATATGTTCAAGATTTTCAAGCACTCTGGGAAATATGCCACAGTTCCTGACACATAGTAAAACTTGTATATTGATGGAAATAGAAATCACTTCCTTTGTTTTTAAAAAGATAATATTCCATTCAGACAAGCAAGACTACCACATGTATTATCACAATATACTTAATGGAATTATACAAGTGATTAAGTGGTAATTCGTAAAACCTAAAACCTGGTGCTTTTGCTAGTGTAAATAACTACAGTTGCATGTCGTGAGAGTTCTAGAAGACAGGTTTGATGGCTCACTTAAAGAACACTTAAAGCTACTATGAGTTACTTTGTAGATTGCCAAAGCATAATTTATAGGAAAATTCCAAACAACCTGTACGACTTCACTGTTTATATGCATGATTCAGAACTACTAGCCAGAAACTTTAATATAAATATCTAACACATATATAGTGTTATATATCATGGTTCCTTCACAAATAAATTTATAAATAACAAATTACATTTTCTTAAACATAATTTCTGTTCTAATATGGTTGTTACTTGTTAACAACTGTTCTAATTCTGTTAAAACTAAAGAGTTAGATCCATGAAATCTGAGTTGACAATGGCCCAATGGACTCATTTAATCCAGAACTAGACTCTTCATCACCTTTAATACATGATCATCTAGGCTTAGCCTTTTCATCTCCATCTCTCTTACTCCCCATTGTATTGCAGTGAAGAGGAGCACATTTCTGCCTGAAATTGCTAGTTCCATGA